ATAATTATTCCCAAATTAGAGAATGAATGGCTATTCAGTCAGACCTTTTATGTTTGGTAGATGACTACTACATCTACATGAGGATCATCGAAATCTGGATTCATGATTTTCTCACTTTAATAAACAAAACAAAAATGAAGTTTTTAAGAAGAAAAATGAAAGCGTAAAAGAGACAGACATGTCATTTATTAATCATTCAATCAATCTCTAGTCATAATGACTCGGCAAAACAAAGGTCCTTGTTCATCAAAAAGTCTCATTTTATTATTGAGTTAAAAATATATATATATATACGTCTCGGGCTGTATAATCCCCCTCATCCAAATTTTATTTCTCATAATCGATTTTATTTTCTGAACTTTTCAATGATTATTCAGCTAAAATCTCTATTCAAATGTGTTTTTTTTATCCGATCATTCTACTATTATGGTATTATACGTTTAATTTGATTCACTGTCTCTATCTATCACTTTAAATTTTTAATTTCAAACATCCCTTGTATATTAAATTATTAATTAGAAAAAAATTTGTGAGAATATGTTTATGTGTCATCTCCACAATCACTTTTACCAAAATAAAAGTGACAAGACTTGTGAAAATTGTGACATGACAATTTTGAATCTTTGATATATTAATTGGAGAGTGATTTGTAAGAAAATGTTTATATGTCATCTCCACAATCACTCTCACAAAAACAATTGTGACATGGTTTGTCGTGACATGGCAATTTTGAATCAATAATAAATATTCTACAACTAAATTTATAATTATTACTATAAATAAATCAAAAGAATTTTTCATCAATATATTATCAGATTTTTGTTTTTCATCTAAAATTATATAAAATTTTTTTTTCTCATTTAAAAATAGTTAAGAAATTGATTATTGTAATAATAAAATTATAGTAGATTTTTATAGAATATATAATCTTTTTAAAATAATAATAAAGACCTACCAACTTTTTAGAAAATATTTTGATATGTTTGTAAAAAAAATTTCCCAAGTTTATAACAACAAATATAATTATTCTTTTGAAATATTTTTTTTTAACACAAGACAATTTGAAATTAATAAAAATATTTTTTTAATTCAAAAGCAACAATTTTTTTTAATATGTGTTTTATTTATAAAATTATGATTATATATTTTAATGTTTTAAAATATTAAATAATTTATTTGTATTCTAAATTCTACTTAAAATATTCGAACAAGCCAAATTTAACTTGTTTTTTTAACTCTAGTGTATTAAATTACTATACATTTTGATTTGAAACGTTAAAATAATTAAATAGTAAAACCAAATTTCTGAAATTCAAATTATTAATAAAAACAATATTAATCTCCAAAAAAATGAACAACAAAAGAATCAACAACAATGTTTATAATAAAAATCAAAACAACTATATATTTCATATTTTTAAAAACTAAAATTAAAAATAAAACTACATAAATAATTTATCTGCGTGTACGCGGAAAAATCATCCGGGAATCTGGGAATCAGACACATGGCTTCACGCGCGGCGATTTCACTCTACACCATCGCCGAAGTTCTCACCTCCGTTCTCACCGTCTCGCCTCTCCGGTGAGAGAGCACCCTTTTCCTGTCTTGTTTGCTGCGTTTACGCTACCATCTCCTTACTGATTTGATAGGTTTGCTCGGATCTGTCGTAGTGAGTGGTCGGAGCTTCGTTGAGCTTGACGGATACGTCTAAGTGGTTGGGTTATCTTTGGTCATGTCATTTGCTTGTCGATGGTGTTTTGACATCGGCAGAGACTAGCTATAACCCTTCACTTTCCTCAAGCAAATCGATCGGCGTTGATCTATTTCTGTAGATCCATCACCTTCCTCGCGAATCCGGTGACGGTGAAGATTAGTTCGGCCGTGGAGCGACGCCTGCTAGCCATGTTTTCTCCTTCTCCGTCATATAACGGTTTCGACATCATCCATGCTTTGTGTGGAAGATCCGCCGCACCTGGTGGTTTGGACTCACTCTCCGTCGGGTACTTCCGCTCGTGGTCGGCTATGTCGCCAGATATGTGTCACCTTTGTCGTCATCTGCTAATTTGAGGTAGTCATTTAGGGTTTGGATGGTTGAGATCTTTGGTGGTGGAGGTTGGTTTATCTCTGTCTCTTTAGCCGCTAGAGCCACGGCCTCTCTGTCCTTCTCTTCTTGATATAGTTTAAGGGCATTGCTTTCTGGTTGGTATTGTTTGGGATTCTTCTCTTGTCGATTTGGCTCGATGAAATGTTTCCTCTATGTTTGGTTAATATGCTTGTCGACAGCTTCAGATTCATTTGAGAAATCATTGTGCCGTCTCGAGTGTGAGATTTCGTCCAAGTTGTCTCCCTGTTTTGCTTTCCATAATTTCAATGCTTCATACTTGAAATGGTTTAGTTACATGTGGTTGCCTTTATGTTTCTTGTGTTTGCATCATTGTAATCCTAATACTGATGGTTGGCGTTTGGCCCAGTATTTCT